GGCGGGCGGGCGCGGGGCCGCGGCAGCGGGCCCAGGCCGCACCACGAGCAGCCCGACGAGCCCGACGTGCCCTCTGGCCCAGGACCACGGTTAGGAAGCGGGACGGGGCGGGACCTACTGTACACAAGCTCTACCACGCACTCACTCACCAATACACCCTAAACACTGATACCCCTACGACTAGGTTAGTTAACGTTAGCTCAATTAGATCGATAAATACTCAAATTATATCAAGGTTAGTATATCAATGAATTCAAACACATGGGGAATGTAACTGGCTATATGTTGGAGCGTACCTGACATAGTTTCGTCGTCGACATCGTTCTCTTCATTGGAGTTCTCGTCCACGTGACTTGGGTTATTTTCATCAGCAAATACTTCCAGCTCACTGAACATCAAGTCCTGAGGTGAAAAACATACAGTTTCACATAACATATTTAGACAAGCAGATCCTACAATGAGTTTAACATATTCTCTTTGATCTTTGGCTGTCGTAGGCAAATTGAATAAGCCGCCGTGTTCCATTACGCCAAGCCCATACGGCTTCACGGGTGGGGCTTTCGTGGCGTTAGAACCGATAATGCTGTCAAAATGTCAAATCAAAGGTTGCGGCTACACGAAATTCTCAACTTTTCCGTCATGGACGTCGATTTTGTGGTTTTGAAGGATGTCTGTGGGTACTGACGCCAGTATCGCTGCTACTCTCGGAGGCGGCGTGCAGCGGGTGCGAGGCGGGCTCGGGCTCCAGCTTGGCGCCCGCGTTGAGTTCGGGCGACGAGATGGACGAGCACAGCACTGCGTTGGTCGCCGCCGCGTTGGTGGACTCCGTCACTGGGTTGCTCGATACTGCTGCAAACATTGCACTCTTATCAAACAAACAAACCACAAACATATAAAGTTGAGTTCGTTTGTTTAAATTTCAGAACCTAGTGGCCCGATTTAAAAAAAAATATGCTGGATAGTCCAATAGGGTAGTTTCCTAAATTTTATTTTAATGTCTTGTACATAAATTTAAAAATTCAGACACGTATTTTTTCTTTTCTTACAAAATTAAATATTTTCGATGATATATTAATTTGAAATATCGTGTGACGTCACAGCGTGTCACATTTTGTAGCACGTTATGACGTAACGACCTCCCATTCCTAAATTTAGCACCATTTTATTTAAGTATTGCAACTTAATACGAGAAAATAAAAAATTACGTGTCTAATATTTTTTCATTATCTAACTAACAGACTAATTAGATTTTTAATTTTGGTACCCTGGAAACTACCCAATTATTGAGAAAGGCTATAGGCTGCAAAATATTACGCTACGATCAATAGGAACCGAGTAGTGGGTGGCACCGCGCGGGAGTAGTGCCTAGTGTGTCCCAATAGCCGGGCACGTACCAGTGAGCTGCGAGTCCTTGTGGGGCACGTGGTGTTTGTCCGGGCGCGGCTCGGCGGCGCGCTTGCTGGGCAGCTTGCTGGGCGCGCGCGCGGCCGGGGCCTGCGCGGCGCTCAGCAGCGTGTGCAGCGACACCAGCGCCATGTTGTCCGGGCCCGTGCCCGACACGTGCAGGGAGTTCGCGGACCTGAACACAACGCAGCGCAAGGAACGTTCAGCAACTCGATTTGTTTGTATTTTTGTGTATGTTGTTCCACGGTCTGATGACGACAATGCTTTTATTACTATTTTTCCCGACTGAAAAATATCTATCAACTTACCTTCAGTTAAAACGATATGACATATTATTAAGTTTCTGTCAAACAGAAGAGCTCTCATTGCACGGACTGCACAGAACCAGAAGTACAGCAGAAAACAACACAACACAGTACAATATCATAAAAAAATGACTTGAAAGTAAAATAATGCCAATAGTGTGTAGTCGACGTACTCACCGTGAGGTGGAGGGCAGATTGTACCCGGCGTCGAGCGCGTGTGTGGCGTGGGGTTGGTGGGGTTGGTGCGGCGCGTGTCTGTAGTCGCCGTACCCGGCCGCACCGGACACGTCATTGTTCCGCGAGTCGTCCACGAACATGCCCGTGTTCAGGATACCTGCACACCGCCCACCGCCACACTCACCACACGTCACCATACTCACTATGCCGTCACCAATACGTACAATGGGTTTTAACACACAAAAAAAAACATAATATCGATGGAAATAATAACTATACAATAGGGTAGATGCCTAATTTTTATTTTAATGTCCGTCTGGTATGTAGATTATTTTAAATCATTAGACACGTATTTTTTATTTTCTTACAGAAACGAATACTTTGAATTACTTTGGAATATTCATTTGAAATGTTACGTGACGTCACTTCTATGTACATTTTATGCGTAGAAATGACGTTTTAGTCCCCACTCCTAAACTTTGATTCGCTTTATCTCAGTATTGTTAATAAAAAATACGTGTCTAATATTTTTTCATTACATTATACGGACTAATTATATTTTTATTTTTCATACCCTGTCATTATCCCAATCGTGGCCATAACTAAACAAACCAAACTGGGCTACATAGTGTAAGTTTTGGATAAAGTTAATGTGACCGTATGAGGCCAAACGTGATACTGTTAATTCTCTCTTTATTAATGTTTAATGCCAGTTTTGACTGTATTTTTAACACAATACTATAGTCAGAATTTTAATTAGATTCCAGATTTGACATTAGCTACTGTCATTTTGTGAAATAATGATACCACATATAATAGTGTATGAATATAATAGTGATGAACACAAAAATCGATAAACAATCAGTGTGTGTGTTTTATAATAAATGTTACAGAAAGTGGCAAGATAGCGATAGCGATGACGGCGATAATTTATAAAATAACTTATTACCATAATATATCTATCTATTTTATGTGTGATGTCCTTCATGATTACATTTTTTTATTTATTTCACACACAATAATAAAAGACAAGTCTCAGATCGTTAATTAATCGTCAAAACTAAATTATCGGTTCAGAAATATTTAATTTCCTTATGTACTTAGTTTACGAGAGTAAAATTATAAATGAGAAGAATCGATCCAGAAATATTGCATTTCCATATCGAATAATTTCGCAACGTCACTATTTAGTACTTGTCATAACGTTGCAACACTGAAATTGTCAAATCTGGAATCGAATTAAAATTCCGAGTATAGTCACTGCTTTGGAACCTATCTTCGTAAAAACGTACAGAAAAGAGGTTAGAGCGCGAAGAGAAAAGATTCACTTAGTTAGATTTACTTGATTGACTGCTTCGTTGGCCGAGTGATCGCAAGTGCGACTGCCGGGCAAGGGGTCTCGGGTTCGATTCCCGGATCGGGCAAAATAGTACTGGGTTTTTAAAAATCTCAGTAGTAGCACGGAGTCTGGAAATATGCCCGGTATACGGCAAAAGGCTCACCCCCTATTACATGGGACTCATAACATAAATAGTGAAAAGTGGGTGTTACATTGTACAGTGGCATTAAGTGCCGCAATGTGCACGTCTGCCTACCCCTTCGGGGATAAAAAGGCGTAATGTTATGTTATGATGTTATATTGTAAAGTCAAACACAAGTATGACTAACCGGGACTAGCAAGTCGTTGTCCGCTCATGATGCTATGTGGCGCGCTAAACTTCCACTGGTTCCCGAAGACGATGGAGTCGCTGAGACTGTTTCCATCGACGGGGTTGTTCTGCGACGGATTGTCCGTGTCGGTACTGCCAGCGTTGGACTGCGAAGTATTCGAGCCGGTCTGTGCACGGGTCGCCGCGATAGAGTTGCGAGACATCTCTAATGAGAGACGCTGTGGACATTTGGGTATTTACCTAATTTTGATTCTTATTACACGTCAAATAGGGGTGCTAATTTGTGATTGAAATATTTGATACCTTACCTCTTTGAGATCATTTATTTGCAGGATGTGTTGGTTTTGCATGGTGATCAACTGGTTGATGTACCACTGCTGGTCGCGACAGCGCTGGTAGAACGTCGGCGGGCGCACTTGGAATCTTTTACAAACAACTTTACGTTAGGGTAATACAACAACAGAGGCCTTAGTACGAGATTTGTTTTACGTTTAAAGTAATCGTAACGAGTACGCGTTCGGCGCTCTGATTGGTTGCTTCATTGGCGCCGGCCAATCAGTGTGCCGAACGCGTACTCGTTTCGAATACTGTAAACGTACAACAAACTCGTACTAAGGCCTCAGTACATTTCAAGTCGAAAAATGAGAGTACTAACTGTTCTTCTTGTCTTTATCACAAATAGCATTATACAGTCGTCTTCCATTCAAGCTGATCCCTTACCAGACAACGTTACTTAATAACAAATCACCAATTTTCTTTCACATTACTCCTCACTCGTTAAACTTGGTCATCTCATCACTCTTACCTCAATATAAGAGTATCCGTCTCCGGGTCCAGATACCCCTCACTGGCGAGCAGGTCCAGCCTGAAGAAGCGGTTGTATCCCCAGCACTCGCCGACCTCGAAGTCAGAAGCAAACTCCCTCACTATGTTCTTTGAAGGGTCGCGTGACACTTGGTGCAACATCTCCACTCGATACTCGTATCTGAGACATATATTGCGTACAGGTTCTGCCCGCAACTTTATGGGACAAAGCTATAGTCATTGTAAAGTAAATAGAAGATGCTTTTTGCGTTTTCATATCCTGCCGTGATTGAATAAGAAACAAATGGTAAATATGTTATGTAGCTTGAGTTTAGATGAACTTCAACTTTTATAATCATTTATATTAATGTTATTTGATTTAAGCTTATTTTGAAAATGTGTAAAACGATGATTTAACAATCGTAACGGCTGACAATATTACGCACAAATATAATGAGTTGCCCATGTAGCATACCTGAATTATTTACTTTTACTTACATCACTGCTTCATCTTCTAAACAGTAGATATTTAACTAAAAGATTCAAGCACTAGCAACAGATAGGACAGATTTACGAACAAGTAAGGCCACGAGGAAACAATATACTTTGTCTAACGAATTTCAACCCTAATTGTAATGTTTTAATGTTCACTCTAAATAGATTGTTGATTATGATGAAGTTCGTCGGTGATATATACATGTTTTATCAAAATTTACGTTTGTGTGTAGTAGGCGTTGAGAGATATATAGGCTTTAGGTTTTACAAAAGTGCTAAGCACGAATAACTATCGCATTCGTAACGTAATAGTATCGAGGGCGTTCGGTGCTCTGATTGGCCGGCTCCAGTGAACCAGCCAATCCGAGAGACGAACGCGCTCGATACTAATTACGTTATGTATGCGATAGTTATTCGTGCTTGGCACTCGGAAGATAAAAAAGTGACACTTGACATTTCTCGTAAGGCAGTTTCATTTTTTTCCAGTTATAAGTTTTAAGTAAATAAAAAGTAGCAAATTTTTTGCTATAAACAACCCTTAGATAAGAAGAAGCCCAACTCTTAGATAAATTTTTCAAACTATGAATTAATCGGTACGATTCTGGCTTCTGTTAGTTTCTATTGAGCTTAAGCACTTTTTATTAGAAGAAAATTAGTCAGTCAAACCTACAAAACGCCTTCTACACAACATGGCGATTTATACGTAAAAGATTTCTTCAACAAATATATAATATGGATATAGTACAATGATAACAAAGCTAGCTGTCCACAAAATATCGAATAAGTTTGTTTTAATTAGTAAGCGATTATATGACATCATGTTTTCATTCATTCATTATTTTGATAGAAATCCTGCGGTAACATAATCATAGTTTTGATACAGAAAACATCATGTGAAATAATTGCTTGTAGTAAACTGCAAAGGAGCATTTGAAGTGAGCACACAGAAGAGATGTAAGGCACAATTTATACAAAGTTGTTTGAGACATCATTTTGTAGTCTGTGAAACCTGAATAAATATTAGTCCTATATCTCTAGTGGACTGAATGTTACACTGAAAGATTCAAGCCACAATCAATATTGATCTTAGATGAGAGTGATTTGAATGCCCTTCTCCATATAAATAGTGCCCTATATACCAACAGCATGCTTGACATGGAGCTACTAACGTCTAATGAGCGTCGGCCTCCACAGCCCGCACTTACCTCTTGCCTACTCTTAACTTAGCAGTGCTTGCAATAACGAAATACTAAGTTATTTGGCTATCACTTACAGGGTACAAAACAAATCATTAGGATCGGGTTGTGCAACAAATCAAGTGTTTACGTTGCTGTTCCACCACTCGTGAACTAAGTGCCAATTCGTGGTCTACACAATTTATTTGAGAAGCAAAAAATTAATCTTGTGACATTACCATAAATATGAAACTTCATCTTGTGCTTACATAATTAATATTGAATGAAAAATACTACGAAAAATCTTTACTAAAAATTTTTGAAGATCGAATATTTGTGGTGAAACAGTCCGACAGTAATACAGAGATAATATTTGGAATTAGGACTTGCAATGCAACCCATTAACATATTTGGTAGATTAGAGTACTTACTTGGAGGTCTCGGGTAGTCCGGCACTGAGTTCGAGGAAGACGGAGAGGTAGTTGCCTCTGACAACTCCGTTCCCATCGGGGTAGACCTTGAGTCGCCAGCAGAGTCCGTTGACATGTAGCGGGGCGGAGTACACGGGCGCCGCCGCGTGCTGCAGCTGCGTGAAGTTGCTCAGAGGAAACGTGCTGCTATCGTAGCTCGGGACAATTTCACTGCGCGAAGGACGATTGAAGGTTTTGTGAATATTAAGGATTCAATTGATGTGCAGAGTCTGTAGAGATCTAAACAAATACGAGGTCAGGAAGTGATACTACGATGAAGTTTCCGAAATTTTCAGTTATAAGTACCTACATAATGTTGACAGGATACATGGAGTACCCTTCAGGGACAAAACAAGTTAAATGTAGTGAATCAAAAACCTGTAATTGAGATAAACACAGCAAAAAAAGTGTATAATGTTCATGGTATCTCCCCATTACTTGCTAATCATAACATCCGACCGCCTGCCCTACTACGTAAATCGATGCGGTCATGAACACGCCACGCCTTTTATTTTTCCAGATTTCTATTCAAGGTTATCGCTTGCTGTGTGGTGACAGCAAAATAGAATATTTTATCACCTACTTAGTGCGGAAAACAATAAACTGAAAAGCTCTCTATGTAGAGGAGTCAAGAGGAGGCCTGGAGGTGCAAGAAGAGAACTAGTGTCACGCGGAGTGTTGATGCAAGGTCCACTGATAATCGAATAACATCCATTTTTACTAAAACCATCCATTTTACATTGCAAGATATTAAATATTCACCTTCTTCACCCAGTTATCTATCCCCTTACTTTCAATACTTATGCGCAAACCACAGTAAAAATCTTCGTTCTTCTCACAACCGTCTTCTCCAATGTCCCACTCATCGCACTGACTTCTTACATTCATCCTTTTTCGTACAGGCAATTTTTCTGTGGAATGCGCTCCCCCTGGATGTCAGGATGGTCTCAACTCGACTAACTTTTAAGCAGAAAGTACGTGAGCTTTTCCTAAAGAGGTTGGCTGAATCATCGCGCTAACTATCCACTGTGTACTAGTAAGCAAGTATATATTTATATATTATGTATATATGTATGTATGTAGGCATATTGTACTCATGTGTAGGTATACATTATAATTAAATTTATTTATGTATGTATATCTCCGAAATATATTAGTTTATCTGTCATTGTTAAATAAAATCACTGCTTGCCTCTTGCACCTACCATTTACTCTTCTCTGCATCACCCAAAGGTCAGACTGGTAGAAAATGCCTGCGGCATTAAGTCCACCTTTTTGTACATTTTGTGCATGAAGCATTTTAAATAAATAAATAAATAAATATCATCACTTGCCTATGGAAATCGGCCGGTACCGGCGCAGTCACGAAGCTTGCCATCGGTTTCTTGCGAACCTGGTGAATCATCTTCGACAGTTCACCACTCTTCGCAATCAGTTCCGACCTGAGAACATTGCAGTAGTTGACTCTGCTCATAAAATAAATGGAATTTTGAATAAAAAGTGACACAAAATAATTACCATTTCCTTTATTTTCTTGTCAATCGATTAAAGTGCTTATCCTAAACGTGTAAGGTACATTTTTCACTGATGACATTAACTTGCAAATAAGTGCCCAACGAAAAGTATGTACTTAGTAGTCAAAACTGAAGTCAGATAACATGACCTTACGTGACCCATAAAGAATATCGTAAATAATAACACGGAATAACAGACAATCATGCACACATATATTAATTTTAACATGCAATACTAACATAACTGATGTTGTACGCTTTCTGGTCACCCCAAAACAGATTATAGCATGAAGGTAGAAGATACAAATAGAGTTAATACAATATCTTTAAATTGTGTTTATCTTTAAACTTTAAGTTTTGAAATATTCAATTGATTAGGCAAGGTTTCTTGGCAATAATTGCAATAATTTAAGATGAAATAGATATTTATTTCATTTCTTGTCTAATGAAGGTCATCAGATCCAGTAGTGTTTCAGTGAAATTCAATAAGACAATGCTGATTCTTAACAATAAAATAGTTTTGAATAAAACGGATAATCAGCCAGAAGACTAAAATATAGAATAGAAAATAATCCAAACATACTAAAGCCAATACTAATATTAAAACTTTAGGCAAAAAGAAGAATTAAGTATTAATTTTCCAGCTATAGAGGCCAAATAGCTTAAGAAATACCATTAGTAAAGAACAATCACTGAATTAAAGCAAATATTTTATAGAACTATTATAAATCAACTGAGTCTGAATAAACAAGAGAAAGCATTCAATAATAGAAGTATAGGAGGCTTTGTTTTATAAATAAGGAAGTAATAAAATAAACTATAACCTGGTACTTGAATGCAGTTGATGTTCAATCTCTTGCAGGAGATGTTCAAGTTGTTCCGTCTCCTGCGTCAGACTGTTTTTCTGGCCCATGAGTGTGAGGAGTTTGGCCTTCAGCGCAGAATCCAGGCGCGATATCATCAGCTCCACCGCATTGCGAATTTCGCGCACGCGCTCGTCTTTAGCTGCGCGTACCGATTCCACATTGCGTTCCTGACAAATATTGTATTGTTACAATACTTGTATCATAATATGTAGATTATTTCTGAATGTTAATTATTATTATATTTGTAGCAGTTATATAAATATTACAATAGGACTTCACTTCTATTCAGAGGATGAACATAGTAAAATTGGTTCCATAAAATGTCAAAACTCATAAGAATGTGGCTCAAGTTGTTACCTACTTCAAAAGAGGAAGGAAAAAGCATTAATTAATATAATAAACACTTTCATAGCAACAGAAAATCAATACAAAACATACCACATCTTGCCCCAGACTAATCAGCTCTGTGAGCCGACGTCTCAGCTGGAACACTTCATCACGGATCTGTGTGACATGTTGCTCATACACTTCCTCCAAGGGTTTGAAGGTGTGTCCAGAGTGAGTACCGCCCCACAGAGCACATTGGTGGCAGATGCAGCGCCGACATGTCCAACAGTATACCGTCAGCTTCTCTTGGTGTGTCGGACACCTGTTCAGGGCACTTTGGGTATGTTTATTACGTCCTTACACAAAATGACATTACACACGATGATTACAAGCGAATGATGAAGTGCCAGAAATGTCTGCAATATTCACCTATCCCTGAAGCTTTCCCTCTGACTAGCCGAGTTGCTCTGCTGCATGGTCTCGATCTGCTGAGTGACCTCCTCCACCCAGCGGCAGTTGACGAGCTCGTGTAGGTGCAGGGCTGCCCGACAGTGCGGGCACTGCGATCGCTGCTCAGTCAGCCATCGTCGCACGCAGGCGTAGCAACACAGCTTGGAGCAGTGCGGGCAGAGATGTGCGTCCACCAGCTTCTCCATACAGATGAAGCAGCGGAACACCTCCGCCAACGTCTGCAACCATCATTCCATTCAGAACTCTCGTCAACTCAATCTATCTGTCAAAAATGTAGGCCACATCGATTTACCTCAACGATCTGCTCCTCGCCATTTCCATTCCCTTTGTCTCCTCGCGAGGCCATATTTTAGGTTTGCTTTTCTTACTACGGGGCCGACGAGTTATTCACCATAATTTGGACATGTTTATATATTTCTAAAATAAAAATTGGACATGTTTCGCAATGCGAGCGTCAATACACGAAACCACTTCCGCGTTCGAATATCAATCGAATCAAAATAAAAACAAAAAAATGGTGCTTTTGCACTAATGTTTAAATTACCCTATAAAAATAATTTAACATTTTTGTCGTTCATAAGTAAAAAATAGGATGGAAATAACTAGTAGATGAATAATGAAAACTGGTTTAATTGCACTAAAATAATATTGTTAGAGAATTATCTGCCCGGATTTTTGTACGTTTTCAATGTTTTCTTCCCATTCATGATAACTCCGGTGACTATAATTCCCCAATATATGGGAAACTGAACTGGCAATACTATGGGTAAAATAGTATTGCCATTTACATCCTAATTTAATTTATGTATCGATCGATGGCAAAGGAAGCGTTCTAAATAAAATCTTTTGAATCATTCATCTGTTTTTCCACATCTATTTTATTATCATATTTATCATCTATTCTTTATATTTTATATTTTCTTCAGTACTCGTCTTCAACATGGTGATCCGGCCGGACTAGTATTTCTAAGCAATCCTTAAATTATCTAGACTTAATTGTTTTTTATTTTAACATAATTTATTAAGTATTCAAGCGTTCGGTTGTACTTTTTAGGTCAAGAAAATTCATTTAGGTTCAAGTTAAGGATAGTTGAATATAAGAAGAAAAGCTGTGAAAATCATAGTTTTATAAAAATTACATTATTTTCAAATACGAAGTTGAACTGGCAATGATCATAAACCCTCAATGTTACGTCACATATGTCATATGTCGAATTTAACTTGATAACCTCTGACTGAAATGTTTTCATTTTATCATTCTTATAATAATTATTTTTCGTGGTGATAAAAAGGGTTGATTTTACAGTATTTCAAACACTGGATTACAAATAGTAAATACGTAAGTTGCGTTTAAATCAGTCAGTAACAGAACTTCAGTCGGTTAACTTATAACACTCAGTTGATAATAAGAGTTGGATGGAGCTGTATGTTATTCAACTCCAATGTTATTTTTATTTTAGAATAGTATTGAGGTCTTGTGACATAATTCCTTATTACTGGCACCGCTATCTAAGATAAAGATATTATTATAGTACCTGAAAGACATACCTAGCCATTATTATTTTTTTTTTTTTGTAAATATTTCAGAATGTTGATATAAGGCGTGTGGCAGCAAAATGTTTTATAGAAAAGTGATGCACTGTACGATCTGCCTGAAACATGGCACTGTCGGCATTTCTGGGGTAAGTTTTATAATAAAAATTAGTTTTAAATAAGGCAGGAAAAACGCATGGTGTATTGTTTGTTATCTGTGACACTGATTGATGGTATCATTAATTATTATGTCTCATTTTCTATTAAAAAACTATGATATAAATATTTACGAAAGAAAATTGAATGGATATGTTCAGAAGAAGCTTTGAAACCTTTTGTTAGGAGGACTTGATTATGTGTTTCATTAATTAATTTGTATAAATATAATAATTCATTTAAAATATTAATGAGCATGTTAACTTAATATTTTTTCTAGTAGTTAGCTATATCTAGACATAGAACTTTTCCAACATTAATTAACTCGTTGAGTACCGTCATTATAGACACAATTAAAGAACAATAGGTTGTGGTCACCGGTGACCGCTTGGTGTTTGACAGTTTAAACTGTCAAACACCGAGCTACTCGACGAGTTAATAAAAAATATACCCAATCCTATTTTTATATATATTTTTATTCCTTATGTTAATTTTAATTGTAAATACTTTAATTTTTATTTTAATTAGCTCTGCTTATTTATTATTTAGTTTTTATCTATATACAGATTAGTTTAGTTTTATCACATCCGTAATGTGTTTCCCACCAATATTTACGAATAAAATATTCAGTTCATTAAAAAAAAATAAACAATTTCAAATTAAATATAATATGTAATTCTAAAAAGTGTGAAATATTTTATGAAATGTTTATACCTATTGGTGCCTATTGCTTTGGTAGTAAATTATTTTTCAATAATCATATTGCCTAGTAAACAGTACATTAGTTGAATATTATTGCAAATAATCTAATCTTATCCAACACAAATATTACATTACATTATCAACTACAGGAGGTGCCTCAATACTTCATTGTTAAATTTCCATTTATTCAGAAATAAATCTTTTAGAATCTGACTAATGGCATGAATAACTTGTATAAAATTGCATATTTTATGTAATATATTGTACTAGCTGCTGCCCGCGACTTCGTACACGCAATCCCATTTTCCCCTAAGCTACCTCCCTGCCAATTTTCATCCAAATCGATTGAGGCGTTCTTGAGTTATAAAAATAGTGTAACTAACACGACTTTCTTTTACATATATAGATTATGTATGTGTATACTTATGTGATACACCACTAAGGAAAACAATCAGTTTTTTGTTATTAACATTTTATGTAAATCGAAAAACATATATTGTTTATATTTTTTCAATTTAAACTAATAAATAACTGTAAAAAAAAATCCAATTAGACACCTGTTAAAAGTATACCTGAAAAGTATATAGTATACCTGATTATCAAGATTCGTAACATTAAACTTTCTAAACTTGTTATATTATCACTGCAGATTATTTAAATAGCATGGAGCCTGGAATTGTGCCCGGTATATGGCACTTGGCTCACCCCCCCCCCTCTCACATGGGACTCATAACATAAATAGTGTAATAAGTAATGAAAAGTGGGTGTTACATTGTACAGTGGCAATAAGAGCCTTATGTGCAATTCTGTCTACCCCTTCGAATATGAAAGGCGTAATTTAAGTTTTAATTCAATAGACATCTATTGAAGTAAAACTTAAATTACGCCTTTCTTATTGGAATTATTCTTTTTCTTATTGTTATATATAAAAAATTTAGTCATTTGTAACAATACAGATGACTTTTGGTATACAAATACCAACACAATAGAAAAATGTTCTCAAAAATGATGCCTGAAGTTAGTCCAATCAAGAAACTAAAAATGCCGGAATACTGAAACGTTACTCAATTTTAAGTCGCGCTTAAGTATAGTTCTGTCACCTGTAATTGGTTGTGAAATGACAGAGATGGCACATATTTAAGCACGACTTAAAATTGAGTAAAGTTTCATTATTCCGGTAAGTTCCTAAAGCCTTTTACTAGCAACAAATCAGTAATAATAGTTATTAAAAAAATTCAAAAATGACATCAGTGATAGCTTAAAAGGTTAAAATAATAAACAATCTCACGAAACGGATTTCGTTATCAAAAATTCGCGTGGATTTTGAATAATAATTTTTCGTTACTGATTAACTTCGAAATTAATTAGTTATACCTACTGTAACATACACTAGCTATAATCAATTTTAAAAAATAGAGAAAATATTAAGCTCATTGCTATTTTGCGCATCGATTTTAGGATGACGTCATAATGCACATGTCCATTATTGAATTCAATTGAAAATGACCAAAATTATGTTATGTTTCTTTAACTGTAATTGAGGACACTATCTTTTATATGTATATTTGATGGGCGGACGTTTAACCACTATGTCGGCTGGTGGTATGCGATGATGCGGTCGACGATAAACCACGTCGTCCCATAAGAAAACTATTCTCTCGCGCCTTGAAGACACCCAGGTTATACCCTTCAGGAAAAGACTGGCAATAAATTCCACTCCTTAGCAGTACAAGGAAGCTTTATCTCAATTAAATCAGAGAACCATCTTATATCTATACAGTAAAAACCACACGTAGGCAATTAATGATAAAATATGTTAATATCTGGTGTCACTTCCAAGTTCAAACGTCTGATTTATGAAATGAACATATTCATTGGAACAATGCAATGCGAAAACTAGGTACCTACATAATATTATGTATATATTTTTATCATCATTTTATTTATTTTATATACTTTACTGTACCCATAAGAGTCACCTGAGGCCTTAGTACGAGTTTGTTTTACGTTTAAAGTATTCGAAACGAGTACGCGTTCGGCGCTCTGATTGGCCGGCGCCAATAAACCAACCAATCAGAGCTGATTGATTTATTAATCATGTTGACTAGCCATTCTACAATAAACATCCAATCGTTACGTTAATCTTCAACCGTAGTGCTTACATAACATTATATTTCAGAACGGCATACTCCTGCAACAACTGGCAAGGATATCGACAACGCAATGTTGGAACAGCAAGCTCCCAATCACGACACAGACCACGGCCAAGGTGAAAAACAAAAATGTGCCACAGGATACCAGAATGTGGAAGGAAACACCATCACACGACAGAAAGAATCAGTTGGGGAACTATTGTATGATGCTGTCCAAATTCAGATTAAGTTGTAAGTAGCATAAATCATAAAATAAAAATATATCGCCAACTATTTATGTTGCTATGCGCATTGAAAACGACTGGACCAAATGGATAATCTTTTCAAGTTGTGTCTGAATCTGCTGTCAAGATTTTTATAAAAAGCAATGTTTGCTTGTGCGAAGCCGGGAACGCCTACAAGTTTCAGTAATCGTTAAAAGCATGAATCACGTGTGGTCCGACGTAACGCGAAACTTATTTATTTACTAAGACAAATTAGCAGACAAACGTCTTCAGTGTCCCTACAATATTATGCATAATTCTTGTCTTGGTGAAAATAGTAGTATAACACTACGTTGATCTAGTGCCCGTTCGTTCAGATTGGTATACTGCAGTTTTCAGCTGAACATTATTTAAATAAAAACCTCTGTTCCCTCTTAACCTTCATGCGTACGTGCCGTCGTAATTTAATCTCCGACACAATTTATGTGTCTACGGTCTACGTGATCGATACAGCGTTATATCCGTACCTACCATATCTAAACAAAACGAGTCTAGACTTCAGACATTCGATTCGCTTAGCCGTAAGCCGCCGCCGCTGCTTCATATCAACTAACTGAAACCGACCGATCGCCTTTAATAACAAATACCCGACCCATAATGTTAAAATTATGAAGTACTCAACGATATTAGTAGATATCTAAAAATTACCACAGTTAACATTCCTAATGCGGCTTATCAGTTATCGTGGATATAATCGATGGCTTTACATTATTATCATTTTTGTAAACAGAGATGACACTTTGTTGCAACAACACGAGGCGAACGGATAAGCTCGGATCTCATGGACTTAAATATTTATTGATCATCTTTTCAATACACGTTTAACCTTACTATTACTAAGGCTAGGTTAAAAGATTACACGAGGATAATAACGGGTACAAAATATATACATATGTAGACGTATACGTTTTCCAAATAACTGATAACCACAAAAACAACAAATGTGTGGGAAATACATAAAATAGACTCTCGATAATTTGTAGTCCCTCGCTAATTCTATTGCGCATTGAAAGAACAGGCCAATAGTTATTTATCTACTTGTGTATTATCGTTTAATTCGTTAATCTATTTATCGTTAATAATTAAAAGGGCACCCTTTTATGGCCATTTTCTATAACCTATCTATCTATCTGTAGATTTTTTTTTACCTTTTTTGGCAACCGAGTCTCCAATACGATGTTGTATCTGTAGATTTGCTTACTGAGATAGAATTTTGACATAAGCTCAGTGGCGTGCAGTCCATATAGGCAAAAAGGCTTTGCTTGACATAAAATGTACAAACGCGTTTATTAAGATTCAATAATAAAATAAAAGTTTGTAAAAAAACGGCTAACATAAATATACATTCACATATACTATACACGGACCGCACGCCTTTGTAAAGCAATGAATGCGCCCCGCACGCACCACGCATGCGCTACTATTCCTTAAATCTTGGTTGTTGGTTGTGACGTCACAAAAAGTATGCAACGCGCATGCGTGAAGGTCACGTGACTATGGTCACAGCAGAGAATAACCATTCATAAACGCAAAAAAGTCATTGTTGCCGGCCTTTGAAATTTATGAATCTGCGCCATCTATTGAATTTTTTGTTAAAACTTCTGAACACGTTCGATATAATGCGAATGTCTTTTTATAATTATGCATACTAAAAAAATATGTTTCAGGTATTTTAATTAAATCTTAACATTTTTACGCGTTGTCGGTTTACAGAAACTTTAAACGAGGAGTTGACTTTATTATTTTAAAAGTAAAAAGGAATAACTTTTGAGTAGCGGCAACTTGACGTTTTGATAACTCAAAGTTTCAAATTGTTATCAACGAATGTTTCTTATTGGAAAATAATAATAAGACAATGACGGAACTCCATTTGACTTATGTAAATTAACGTTTTGTTTTTTTATAATTAAACACTGGGTTGCCTTAATGTTATAGCTATAATTTTTTTATAATAAACACTCAATTGACTACGATGGGTTCATTCATTCCAATGTTTTCGGCCATATTGTTTTCATGTGATGTGCGATCGCTTTGTTTATGTTTTCGTTTAAAT